ACAAAACTCTCTTTTAAGGAGACTGTCTTGAAAATATGGCAAAAACTATTATATTCAAAATTTGCACTAAAGAGGACATCATATAATTGATTAATTTGAAAGATAACAAGTGAAAAAAACGTTAAGTTCGATCGGGCCGAACTTTGGATACCCCCCCCCCCCACCATAGATATATTGACAGATACTTGAAATAAAAATATGGGGAAAATACCACAAAGAACATATACCGATAATTCTATAAACGTATTTATGTAAACCAAATAAAAATTTCAGCAATTTTTAATGGGGATTTTTCTAAAATTCAGTCAATTCGGTCGAAAAATCAGAATCCCCAAAAAACCGAAAATTTGGGACTATCATTTTATGGGGACTACTAGTAAAAGTGGGCCTATATTTATAATTTTAAGTGGAGTAATTTGGTACCCAATAAGAATCCTATGACAAAATTTTAATGAATTCAGTTATAAAACGCGCCCGAGAACCCTAAAATACCGAAAATTGGGGGATACCCTTATATGGGGGCTATCCGAAAAAATGGACCTATATTTATAATTTTTAGTATAGAGATTTGCTACCCAATAAGAAGTCAAAGTACCGAATTTTAGCGAATTCGGTCGAAAAATGCGATCAAACCCCCCAAAATACTGCAAAATTGAGGGTACCCTTATATAGGGGCTATCCGAAAATATGGACCCCTATTTATAATTTTTAATGGAGAGATTTTCTACCCAATGTAACAAATTTCAGCGCCTAAATGTGGACCGATAAAGCCCATCTTCGAACTTGACCTGCCTGCAGACAAAATATTTGGCGAACTATCTCAATTCGTTTAGACGCTATAGTGATTACAAAAGACGGACAGACAGACATACAGACGGACATGGCTATATCGTCATATAATTTTGCGCTGATCAAGAATATATATACTTTATAGGGTCGGAAATGATTATTTCGATGAGTTACAAACAGAAAAACAAAATTAATATACCCTCCATACTACGGTAGAGGGTATAAAAAGTATAAAATGTCAGTCGTTGGATGGAGGAGGATGTTGACTATTTTATGGGGGAGGTAATAGAAGGAGTAGACCAATGGGTCTCATCTTCCTACTTGGCCTAGGTTTGATAAAAGTAATAGGTTGTGCAAAGTTTGGTTCAAATCGGACATTAAATTCGGAAAATAAATATTGAAAACATAGACCTTCTGAGGGAGAGGTACCAAAAGGAGTGGGCCAACGGGACCTTTCTTCCTACTCGATCTAGGATTGGTAAAGATAATAGGTTGCACTCTCACATCGATTTCTTAGAGAGCCCAAGGGATGTATTCCAATTTTTGGCACATGTTGGGCGGTATCTCAGCCATATAATGAGTAATATTGGTTTCTAAGTGTTCAAGAGTTGAAGGTGTATCTGTATAAACACGGTATTTCGCGTAACTTGATCCTAGTGGACAGTGAACAACGAAGAGAAATTACGCTGCCTGAAATGTCTTCTTCAATAAAAAACCATATTCGCTCGAGTTGTGTGACAACAGGCCTTTCAATATGTTCCAGTCTGTTTAAATTTTTTCCACATTTTTTCAATTGCATTTGGACGACTATATAAACCATAATCTCTTCTTATAAACCAGAATCACAATTTTTGTAGAAGGTTTAGATAATTTGTATGCCTTATGAGGTAGTTAGGTAGGAAAAAGTGTGGCCTTCATCACACTCAGTTTCCAAAAATTGTAACTTATACCACTATTGACAAAATGGAGGATGGTAAGCCCTTTTTGGTGATGAACCTTTGCCGAATATAATATAATAAGGAATAAAAAGGTCTTTGGTTCCGATGTCAGCATTGCACGTCTGATGACTCTTTAATTCCACATTTTAACCGGCCAAAAAGGTGGTGACTTGTGTCGATATGCTCATATTTCCATGGTGAACAATAAATAGTCTTCTCTGTTCATTATACCCTACACAACCATGTTGTCAGTGTATTATAGCTTTGTGCAGCCCCAAGAGAGCCGCAAAATTTTGGTCCTAGACCCACCTTTAAGTGTACCAATCGTCATATCTCGACTAGCTGAGTCGATCTAGACATGTGTGTCCGTCCGTCTGTCCATTATAATTTGTAAACACGATACAGGCCACAGTTATGGACCAATCTTCACAAAATTTTGCATATAGGATGGGTTCTGGTCAATAACGACCCCTATTGTTTTTGGAAAAGATCAGTTAATATTTAGGGGATAGAATGGACCAAATACTACATTTTTGTCCGCTTTTCTGGTCGCTCCAGAGGCTGGAATTATTGCCCCAACACCGCGAATTGTTGCATGGAGAAGTGAATCGGGGCAAAGAATAAGCATGTCTGTTTTGATAAAGATCAGTCAATATTTAGCGGGTCAAATGGACCCTGATTTTGTGTGAAAAATGACAAAATGTGTATCCTATAGTGTATAGATTAACCCTTGAAGGACATAGACCCGAGAAGAAGGACTGTACTGACTGTACTACATTAAAAAAAAAAAAAACATTAAAAACGTTTTTGTCCTCTGTCCTTTTGTCCAACATCTGTTGAAAAATTTGCTTTAGACAATCAAATTACTCAAAAAAAGTGGAGCATTTATTTTAAATTGCAATCACTTTGTTCAGACAATTAGACTAAAACTTTAAAATATCGAAGAAGGGGAATATACATTAGATTGTAACCTCTTTACAATAAGTTCCTAGGAGTAGGAGAAACATATGAACATACACTTAATTTTCACTTGAATATTCGTCTCCACTATTTATTTATTCCACGCCTGTTGCAGAAATCAAAATACTCACATTTGTAGGAGATCGCAGTTTCGCTAGAATTATAAGGGGGTTATATATGACCTATACCGCATTTTATTCTTTTCTTCAACACCTCGTGTAAAGTTTTTGGACCACTGGTGCCGATATTCATATAAAACTGATCATCATATCTTTCGGATTCGTCTAGCAACAACATTGAAAAACCAGTGAGCGGAGCAGTATAGTCGGACGGGGCCGACCATACGATACCCTACACAACTACCACGAAACTCTAACTTTCTGCGGATGTTTTTTCCGAGCCTGGCCAATATTTCGTGATATTTGCAGCCTCTTGCCCGATTAGAGGTCAACAGCACCTCTTCCATAGACTGATATCTTTTCCGAAAATAACTAATATTCAGTACAAAATTTAAGTTTTTGGTCCACTTCATCCCAAAATTACTATCTGACCAGGGATATTAAATAATATCTGATTACGTAACCACCTGTAATCACCGACAATATAATTGGTACTAATTTAAAGTTCAACCACTCTTCTTAGATATACTATCAGCTACTCGGGTCTATGTTCTTCAGGGGTAAATATATACGCTATAGAATACAAATTTTGTAATTTTTCACACAAAAGTCAGGGTCCATTTGACCAGCTAAATATTGGCAGATCTTTATCAAAACAGGCATGCTTATTCTTTGGCCCAATCTCCTTCTCCATGTAAACTTTCGCGACGTTTGGGCCATAATTGCGACCTCTGGAGTGATCAGAAAATCAGACAAAAATTAAGTTTTTGGTCCATTTCATACCCTAAATATTAACGGATCTTTGCCAAAAACAATAGGGGTCTTCATTGGGCAGAACCCGTCTTACAAGCACAATTTCGTGAAGATTGGTCCATAACTGTGGCCTGCATCGTGTTTACAAATTATAATGGACAGACGGACGGACACACATGTCTAGATCGACTCAGCTAGTCGAGATATGACGATCCGTATACTTAAAGGTGGGTCTAGGACCAATATTTCGCGGTGTTACAAACTCTTGGGGCTACACAAAGCTATAATACCCTGACAACATAGTTGTGTAGGGTATAAATAGCAAGAAGTAGTATTCACAGGTGTATAACTTAAAGTACCTTATTCGTTCTTTATCCAAGTTATCCAGCGATATTACGTCCAGTATTATAAAAGATATAAAATTTGAGGATTTTATCAGTCGAATACAAGATTTTATGCTTTTAACTTTCAACATCAAAAGATTTCATTCGAAAGTGTCTGTCTCTAACAATATCATTTTCTTAATCAAAAATTATCGCTATTTCTTGGCAATTTTGGAGAATCGTTAAATTGCCTTCTTTTTCGCACCCAGGCGTCCCATAAAATGTTCAATTGGTGTTTTTTTATTTTTAAAGAGCAATTTCCTGGTATCTTCTTTCGAATTTTACGAACTCGCTTCACTTAAAGCGTAATGACAGATTTGATGGAACTCTCAACCGTAATTAGGGTCATTAGGAGACTATTAATTGTGTATACAATCCGCAAGTTTTGCCTTTTTTGCGACATCACGTTGTCCTTCAATCACGTAGCTTGCACCATTTTTCACAAAAAACACACTCACACACATACTCACAAAACAAGCCAACAAACACAATGAAGACACTCATTATTTGGCGCTAATAGCGTTTCGTTTTTAAGTTTTTTTTTTTTTTTTTTGTTCAGTTCCTTTCTAATGTTCTTTCTAATGTTTCCTGTTAAGTTTATTTTTGTTTTGTTTTACGTTAGCTTTCATTTTTTCAGTTTCTCTTTGTAAGCATTTTCTCTTTTGTTTCGTTTTGATTCTCTTCTAAACAACGCTATAATAGCAGCAAATCCAAAGACAAACAAAAATATATCCCGCCTGCACTGTTTTTTCTAAATTTTTCGTTTTATTTTTGTTTTCGAATTTGTTTTCTGTACTAACCCAACCAAACAACAATTCTACTCCCCACCCCCGGAAATCTCCCCCAACCAATTCACCTTGCCCAACCGAACCAAAAACAAACAATCAAACAAACCACATATTCCCCCTATTTTCTCACCCCCAAACCCTGTCATCATCCTCATGATATCATCATCATAATTGTATGAATTTCAGCAATGGGCAGTCCATACTACAGAGACATGGATGAGCCAACAAGTCCCGCGGGGGCGGGACATCATCGAAGTCGAAGTGCCAGTAATGTCACATGGTCTGGATTATCCAAGTAAATATTGAATTTTGTGACAAGCAGAAAATGTTGTGAATTTGAAAAACTAATCAAACGAAAATATTTTCTTTTCGATTTATTTTTATTTTCTTCGGAAGGAGCCCCCCGTTATCAGTCCTTGGATAGAGGTGGTCTGGTTGATCATCATGATCGTGAGTTCATACCCATACGTGAGCCCAGAGATCGTTCGCGAGATCGATCACTGGAGCGAGGTTTATATCTGGAAGATGAACTCTATGGGCGTTCGGCAAGGCAGAGTCCTAATCCGTTGGGTAAGTTTTAGATTTTAGATTATAATCCTTATTTTATTCAATTTACTGCAATAATTTCCAGAGAGACTTATTAATCAATTTTTATTCTATTGTCGTTCCTCTTCCATTTTATTGTATTCTCAGGTTTTAACTCGGGCATACCGCCAACGGATCGAGCGTATTTGGGCGATTTACAACATCAGAATACAGATCTGCAGAGAGAGCTGGGTCAACTTAAACGCGAATTGGAGTTGACAAATCAAAAACTCGGTAGTTCCATGCACAGTATTAAGACTTTTTGGTCACCCGAACTGAAAAAGGAACGAGCCCTCCGCAAAGAAGAAAGCGCGAAGTACAGTTTGATCAATGACCAGCTGAAATTGCTAAGCACAGAAAATCAGGTAAGTTAATGGATATTTATTTACTACATTACGTATGACCCTGGAGGGTATGTAGTGTGAATTATGTGACCTTTGGCGTCATATCTTGAAGAGCCAATGACTTCTGACATCATCAGGACCATTCCTAATGACTTCTGGCGTCATATTGATAATGACTTCCGACGTTATAAGTCTATAGCCATTTACTTTTGACTTCATCAGGTCCATTGCAAAGAACTTCTTGACATCATCAGGTCTTTGATGTCATTTTCAGCAGAGTCAATGACTTCTGACGTCATCAGGTCCATAGCAAATAAATTTCGATATTATCAGCTCTACAGCAAATGCCTTCCGACGTTATAAGAAGTCATCGGCTATAGAGCAGATGACGACAGAAGTCATCGGCCTCAGAACCAATGACCTCTGACGTCATCAGGTCCATTGCAAATGACTTCTGACATCATCAGGTCAATTTCTAATGACTTCTGACATCATAAGGTATATTGTCAATGACTTTCAACGTCATCAGGTCTATAGACAATGAATTTTGACGTCATGTGACGGAAGTCATTGACTCTAGAGATGGCGACGTCAAAAGCCATTCGGACATCAACAGACCTTGGTTATTGATGTCAGAAGTCATTATCAATAGAGCTTATGACGTCAGAAGTCATTAGCTCTCTAAAGTCAATGACTTCATTTCCAGCAGAGCTAATGACTTCTGATGTCATCAGGTCCTCTGACGTCATAAGCTCTATTGATAATGACTTCTGAAATCAATAACCAAGGTCTGTTGATGTCCTCTGATCTATTTATAACAAATACAGTTAGCATTTCTATTTCAAATGACTTCTGACGTCATCAACTCTATAACCAATGGCTTTTGACGTCGCCATCTCTAAAGTCAATGACTACCGACGTCATTTGCTCCATAGCCGAAGACTTCCGACGTCATCTGCTCTATTACCAATGACTTCCGACATCATTTGCTCCATAGCCAATGACTCCCGACGTCATCTGCCCTATAGCCGATGACTTCTGACGTCATTTGTTCTGTAGCCGAGAACTTCCGACGCCAGCTGTTATATAGCCAATAACTTCCCACGTCATTTGTTCTGCAGCCGTTGATTTCCGACCTCATCAGCTCTATAGCCGATGCCAATAGTCATAAATAAAATTTTCAAGGAAGCACCCAACCTAGACGAAATATTAAAAAAAATTATATTTTTCTTGGCGTCAAGATTTTATGGAATATTTTTCCAAGGTCTAACAAAGCGTGGAGTTTATAAATAATATTTCTATCGAGAATTTCTAAGATTAGGGTCTAACGAAGTTTTTATAACCTTCACCACACTATGGTACAGGGTATTATGTCTTTGTGCATATGCTTGTAACAGGCAAAAGGAATCGAGATAGACCCATGGTTCCTTTTGAGAATATGGATAGAATCACTTTCTGAGTCGATTTACGCATGTACGTCTGTCCGTTCATGTATTTTTGTTAACAAAGTACAGGTCGCATTTGTGATCCGATTTGGATGAAATTTGGCACAGATCACTTATTTGGCCCAAGGACGAACCCTATTGAAATTGGGAGAAATCGGCTCAGATTTAGATATAGCTCCCATATATATTTTCGTCCGTTTCAATGTAAATGGTGCACCAAAGTCCCTATATATCTTTCGATTTGCATGAAATTTGGTACAGAGTAATGAATTAGTTATAGAATGACGTGTTTTAAGTTTCCTGAAAATCGGTTCAAATTTAGATATAACTCCCATATATATTTTCGTCCGATTTAATGTAAATAGTCCACCAAAGTCCCTATATATATTTCGATTTACACGAAATTTGGCACAGTGTAATGAAATAGGTCTAGAATGATGTGTGTTAAGTTTCCTGAAAATCGGTTCAGATTTAGATATAGCTCTCGTATATATTTTCGTCCGATTTTGTCTAAATGGTGTACCGAAGTCCCTATATATCTTTCGATTTGCACGAAATTTGGCACAGCCTAATGAATTAGGTCTAGAATGATGTGTGTTAAGTTTCATGAAAATCGGTTCAGATTTAGATATAGCTTCTATATTTGACCAAATTAAAAATTTAGTATCGGTTGCATAATGACATTTTTATGGATCCAATTTCATTTTACTGGTCTTTTAAAAATTCGACGTCTGTTAGGATTCAACTGTTGAATATACCCAAAGTGGTGAAGGTATCATATAGTCGGCCCCGTCCGACTTTACTACTTTTCTTACTGGTTTAAAGTATATTTCTTCGGCGATTGACGAGAGTGTATTTTATTCTAATAACTTCCGTAGGCATGCATTTTTTAAGGACGAAAAGAACCACTATTTTCTAATGAATATATTTTCTAGGACCAACAAAGGCTTGAATTTTTCAATATTAATTTTTCTAGGGCCATATTTTTTAAAATCCTACATATTATTATGAATTCAGACCTATGAATTGTCATTGAAAAAAAATTTTTTATACATCTAGGCCTATGGATGGTCATTGAAAATATATTTTTTATAACTCCTGGCCTATGGATTGTCATTGAAAATATATTTCTTATAAATCAAGGCCTATGGATGGCCATTGAAAATATATTTTTTGTAAATCCAGGCCTATGGATGGTCAAAAAATATTTTTTTTTAAATCCACGCCTATGTTTATTGAAAAAAATATTTTTTTATTAATTAAAAGCCAATGGAAATATTTTTTAGAATACCACGCCTATGAGTGATCCTTAGAAATATATTTTTTTTATAAATAGAAGTCTATGGATCGTTCTTCAAAAAATATATTTAAAATTTAAAATATTTCTTAAAAAATGCAAACTTTCGGATAAAAAAAATTAAAATCCAGAATTGAGAACAAATGTTGAATACTTCAATTTGAATAGCCTTTATATAAATATTTATTGTTTTTTTAACTTTTCCAGAAACAAGCAATGTTGGTGCGTCAATTAGAAGAGGAGCTGCGTGCTCGTATGCGCCAACCGAACATTGAGATGCAGCAACAAATCGAGGCGGTCTACGCGGAAAATGATCATTTGCAGCGTGAAATTAGCATTTTGCGAGAGACAATCAAAGATTTGGAGTGTCGTGTCGAAACACAAAAACAAACTTTGATTGCACGCGACGAAAGCATTAAGAAATTATTGGAAATGTTGCAGGCCAAGGGCATGGGTGAGTGCTAAACTGAAAATTTAAAAAAAAATATTTACAGATATAAAAAACAATAACCCACAACAACAAATACACGGACAAACCAATTAACAACAATGTGTGGGTGTATAAGTGTGGTTGATAATCAGTGACTAAGGGCTTTATTAGATAAACAGACATCTTGTCGTGTGCGCTAGCAAAGTGGGGGAGAGGGTTTTGGATGTCAGAGAGATGTTAAGATGTTGCGACTGGAGGTTAATGATAATGAGTTTTAGCTTATTAGCAAAGGTAGTGATATGGTGTGCGGCGTGGGGGTTCAAAGATAAATATAATGAGCAAAGCAGCTACTGCAATAAGAAGAAACATAATTTGCCACAATAAAAATTAACAACATTTGCTCTAAACTTGACAGACTTGTTAAGAAATTCCAACAACTTGAGAGTTGTGATTTTTGCCGAGTAGGAGAGAGAGAATAAACTTTGCCAATTTGAAAACAAGTTTAATTAGAAATGCAACTCCACGCTTGGTGTGGGTGGAATTTTAAATGGGGTAATATTTTTCTTATTTTATAAGGACTTATAGAAGATCTGATGTAAAACCGATTAAAGTGTTTCTATTTATTCTATTAAGATGTTAAAAAACAGTCCTCATCCATAGTAGAAAATAACATTTGGGGGCTCCATGCTAAATATTAGCCAAACAATTCGGAAAAAATCAAAAAACGATGAATATTCATTATATATACCCTTCCAAATTACGTGGTATGAAAATCGTACTCATTAGAAGGTGAAATACCGAAGAACTCATTTTGTGTAAAGGTATATGGCTTAATATGTATTAACAACTGAACTAAAAACTTAGTCCCATATTTTTGAAACCACGAAATGGATATAGCTTTATATACCATAACTCTGGAAGCCAAATTTTCACATCTTTACCGACATTAATTTTTATGACATTTTATACAGGTTCTGGGTCGGGAACCTGTGATTTCCAAGGGTGTTAGAAAGAGTACATGTCTGGCTCTCGTATGAACTACGATTATTGACTTCGATCAAAAATTAACAAAATGGCGGACCTTTGAATTTTTTTTGTTTTTTTTTTTTGGAAATTTGCCTATTTTTGACCATCAGCTAAGTTAAAAGATAAGGACGTTCTTCCAGAGAAACGTGTCCAAATTTAGAACCGATTGGATTAATAGTTTTTGAGTTATCGTGCCCGCCAATCGTAAAAAACACAGCTTCGAGAAAAAATCCGTTTAAAGTTTGCGAATCACTCTTGTCGTCACTTGATGGTGACACAATAAATCGACTATACCTTCAAGAGTTCTTGAGATTTGCACTTGAAATCTTGTAGGGACATTCTTCAATTAGTGTAGATTCGACAAATTATATACAATTTTTTGACATCGAGAATGGGGATCCCCTTAACTCGATGTGTATATTACCTTTAATTATTTTTTCCATTAGAGCCGTCTCACTCCGATGGATGACTTTTGTCAATTGCGCTTCAATAAACGGTCCTCTTTTAAGGTCGGTTATCTTCCTCATCTTCTCAAATCCTTGCCTTCCCAGTAGACTGAAGCGGAAGTAGTCTGCCCTTAAAATTTGTTGACATCGAGAATGGGGGGTCCCCTTAACCCGATGTGCATATTACCCTTAATTTTTTTTTTTTCATTAGAGCCGTCTCACTCCGATGGATGACTTCTGTCAATTGCGCTTCAATAAACGGTCCTCTTAAGGGTCGGTTATCTTCCGCATCTTCTCAAATCCTTGCTTTCCCAGTAGACTGAAGCGGAAGTAGTCTACCCTTAGCCTTGACATTGAAGAACTGTCTAGGCCCACCACAAGTAGAGTTCTATGATCTTTCTCCTGGATGATTTGCCATTTCTTAACCAGCAGTGTACTGTTTTGTAGACCAAAGACTTAGGTGAATTCCGGTTCGACATTTCTGAGTTGCCGGGCTTCACGGAAGTTTGGAAGGCAGTGCTCTCCTTCTCGATATAAGAATCGCCATCGCCACAATCGGTCGGTAGGCTAGGCCTTCTCTTGCTATTAGTCGACGGGAAGTTATTTTTCTTTTTGCGGCTTAGGCGCTCGTCTACTCTTCCGCAGACCTATTCGTCTTCGCCAGTTGCGAGAAAGTGCAGGGACCGTCATGTTTGTCCTTTTGAGCATTGGCTTGTTTTTTCGATTCATTTTGACTATTTTTGGTTTTTGTACCTTGGATAAGTTTTAGTGAGCTTGGCGATTTCCTTGCTCATTTCATTTACCATATTATCAGCTTCTGTGTTTCTTCGGCATTCTAAGAAGTTGTATTTGCCATGTATTCATGATCACACTTGGAGTGTGAGTTTGAGTCCACACCTGTCTCAGAAGGTTGGGTTGAGGTTGCTCGTCCGCCGTGGTCCTTGAAATCAGATTCGTTTTTGCTAATTTGCCGTTCTGGTTGTGTGCTTGTACCCATGTCTGTAGGAGATGTTTGCTCACAATCAAAGGAAAGCAACGAGGCGTGTTCGTAGACAGATCAACGTCATCCGCCGGTACTGAGTTATTTAGGCTCTGTATTGTAACGTTATTTGTTTTTGTAACTTTTATGATTGTTTTTTTTTTTGGTTTTAGGGGAACACCCCCATAATCAGTTTTGGTCCGCGGGGCCAAAGTCCTAAAGGTGGGTGATCAGACTATCTCATTACCTCCAGTCCCCGCCACCTGGGAACGCAACCGCTATGAGACTGACAAACTCCCTCGTTTTTCCCTTATAACTCAATTTGAAAAATTTATTTTCTCCAACTGTGGCTCTCCTGCACGCTTCTAGAGTTCCGTGGATCATTATGTAGTTTGTTTAGTCCAGAAGTCAAACAGGGAGGAAAAAATCCCTATGTGGATGAAAGCTCTTGGGTAGTATAACTCTAAAATTCTTCTGCTTCGAGTTCATAACATTTTGAATAGGGTTCTCAAAGACAAAAGCTTAAATTTTGTTTGTTGATTTTTGGGTATATCCCGCATATATAGGCCCAGCCACTATATAAGTATTTTAATGGCTCAGGTACATGTTTATACCCTTCACCATACTGTAAATATATTTCATTATTATATTAAATATGTTGATAGTCTGTATGAAAAAAAGTCCGTCACTACAAGAAAAATCTGCTCTGAAAAGAAATGTTCTGATGTGATGCCAAATGTCACAACCTTGACACTGTTGAACTTAATTCGTAGATGCAATTTCGCAACAATAGTCGACATAAATACAACTTATCATTTTAATATGCCTTGGATGAAATTTGGCCGCTTTTTTTTATTATTTTTTATTTGGCCCAAGGACGAAACCTATTGATCGGTTTAGTTTTAGATATAACTCCCATATATATATATATATATATATATTCGTCCGATTATAGGTAAATGGTGCACCAAGGTACCTATATACCCTTCAATTTACACGAAATTTGGCATAGCGTACTGAATTAAGCCTAGAAAGATGTGTGTTAAATTTCGTGAAAATCGGTTCAGTTTTAGATATTGCTCCCATATATATTTTCGTCCGATTTAAGGTAACTGGTGCACCAAAGTCCCTATATATCTTTCGATTTGCACGAAATTTGGCATAAAGTACTGAATTAAGCCTAGAACGATGTGTGTTAAAGTACCTTCACCACATTGTGGTACAGGGTTTGTAAAAGGCAAAATGAAACGAGATAGACCCATGGCTTCTTTTGCGAATATGCATACAATAACTTTCTGAGTCGATTTTTGCATGTCCGTCCGTCTGTCTGTCCCTGTTTGTAAACAAAGTACAGGTCGCATTTATAATCCGAATTGGATGAAATTTGACACAGCTCATTTATTTGGCCCATGGACGAACCCTATTTAAATTGGGAAAATCGGTTTAAGCGACGTCAATTTTCAATTTTTTTTTTTGTTAGTTACGCCTTTTTGCATTTTAGCTAACGATATGTAGAATATACCCAAAGTGGTGAAGGGTATCATATAGTCGACCCAGTCCGACTATACTACTTTCCTTACGGGTTATTCCTTTCATTATGAAGTGACAGCTTTTGAATATGTTCACATCGGACAAAAATATATATGTGAGCTATATATAAATCTGGACCGATTTTCAGGAAACTTAACACACATCATTCTACAACAAATTCAGTACGCTGTTCCAAAATTCATTCAAACCGAAAGATATATAAGGACTTTGGGTCGTCATTTACATTAAATCCGACGAAAATATATATGGGAGCTATATCTATATCTGGAACGATTTTCAGGAAACTTGACACACATCAGTCTAGACCTAATTGATTACACTATGCCAAATTTCGTGCAAATCGAAAGATATATAGGGACTTTGGTATACCATTTACATTAAATCGGACAAAATTATATATGGGAGCTATATCTAAATCTGGACCGATTTTCAAGAAATTTGACACACAACAGTCTAGACCAAATATATATAAATATAAGATATATAGGGACAATTCATTACGCTATGCCAAATTTCGTGCAAATCGAAAGATATATTGGGACTTTGGTATACCATTTACATTAAATCGGACGAAAATATATATGGGAGCTATATCTAAATCTGCACCGATTTTTCTCAATTTCAATAGGGTTCATCCCTGGGCCAAATAATTGGCCTATGTCAATTTTCTTCCAATTCTGGTCATAAATGCGACCGGTACTTTGTTTACAATTTAACATGGACAGACGGGCGTAAATCGACTTAGAAAGTGAAACTATGCATATTCTCAAAAGGAACCATGTGTCTATCTCGTTTCCTTTTGCCTGTTACAAACATATGTACAAAGACATAATACCCTGTACCACAGTGTGGTGAAGGGTATACAAATAGGAATGCCTATGGAAACAAATATGTCTCCTTTAATCACCCTTTAAATAAGATAAAATAATTAAGCCATCTACACTATGGAAGGTATCTTACAGGATTTCAATACTGTAAACTTATGAACCACACAATCGTAAACGATGTAGAGTCTGATCAATCCAAACCAGACTTTTCTTTGTCCTTTACATTTAAATTTTCTGTACTTACATTTAACCTCAATTGTGAATTGCAATTATAATAATGTAATTTCGTTTTATTCTTCTCTTTTCCATTTTTATATATTTTTTATGCCACAACATTAATTGTGCCAAAATAAAAATATGTGTCAACAACATGAACAAATCTGCACCGAACCACACCAACCAACAACCTACCACTTGACCAGGTAAAGAAGAAGAACGTCAAATGTTCCAACAAATGCAAGCAATGGCCCAAAAACAGGTAATTATTTTGCAATGTTTTTTTCTTTACATTTTTGTTCCGATCGAAAGACACAAAATATTATTTGTATTTGCTTTTCTTCTCTCTCATAAAAGAAAAAAAAAATCAAACATAAGAAAAAATCTCAACAGAAAGTAAAAATCATAACAAAAAAATAAATAAATTTTTAATAGCAAAAAAAAATAATTAAAAAGAAATAAAATTTTGGTATTATTTCTTACAAAGAAAGAACAATCAAATGAAAAAGAAAAATAATGAAAATTACCAAAAATAAAAATAACTTCTTTACACAAGATAAAATAAAAATATTAGATTGAACATTAATTTCCATTATTTATTAAATGGATTTTAGGTTTTCCATTACGTTTTTGTGTTGAAATGTGATTTATTTAAATAATTGTTCGTTGTTCATATTTTTTTTCAATTTTACCAAACCAACAAATGTTTGGTTTTTGATTTGCCCAACAAAATAAAAAAGAGAATCCTTAGAAAGAAGAAAATTTTATAAGAAAAAAAAACTATTTTCTGTTCTGTTCAAATCTCTTTTTGGTTAATTAAATGTGTAATCACCACTTTTATACTCTAGCAGAATATATTTGCATACCGTCATGTATGTATGTATGTAACACAGTTAGAAGTCTTCGTTTCCATTTTTTTTTTTTATTTTCTTGGTTTTCGATTTAATTTCGTTTCATTGAAACTTTAGTTTTTCGTTGTTTCCATCCATTTGTTTTGATTAGGAAAATCATCACATGCCAAGAAATTATAAATAACATTTTCATTTGGTTTTCCGCCGTCTCCGCCGTTGTCGTCGTCCCCGCCTTCACCAAACATCATCACAAACTAACAACTAAAAAAAAAACAGAAATTCCACAACCAAAAAATATAGTAAAATAAAACTTAGCAATGCAAAACAAGCAGAACTCATTACTTCATTACATATTTCTTTTGTGATGTTTTTATTTCGGTATTTTTGGTGTTTTTATTATTCAAGATTAGTTTCATAAGAACATTCGCCTCCAAAAACAAAACCACCAATCATAACTCTTAACTGTTAAAACAAACTTCATATTCTGGTAGTAAAAACTAAAAAAAAAATACAAACCTGATGCAGCGAATGACAAACTTTCAACACCACCGTAGAACAAAAAAATATCTTATACACTTATCATCTAAACTTAGACAACCTCAACTGTTTTAGATATGATTCCACCTCATTTTGTGAAACAACCTCAAACCCTAAGAAGTTTCCTTTAACTACAAAATTGTGTTGTAGATTTTTTTGTTTTGGTAAAAAAGAAGTGGAATTTTTGACGATTAGTTCACAAGTTTTTATGGATTGTCTCTTTATTTTTTTAGCATTGAAAGCATTGGAGTAGCGAAAACAAATTTTCTAGGGAAGCAATTTTCAGTTTATTGTGGGAAATACTACATATATTCTGTACATTTATACTCATTCGTGCGAGATACTTTTTCCCGAAAGTTATACTTTTTTCAATACAGATAAAGACTACAAATTTTCAACTCTGTCTGTTGAAATCATTCCTTGGATGTTTTTTTGATTGAAAATGGGATATGTCGATCTACGTTAAGGTTATAAGGGCTATAACTGTACAGCCATTTTGGGTATGGCTGTAATTTGGCAGTTTAGGTCCTTAGTTGGTAGCAAATCTTCTTACAAAATGTTATAGTTGGTAGTTGGGCGGCATTCTATTAATACGACTTTAATGTTAGTTTTAAGGCGTAAATTCTATAATAGGGACCAATAATGTCTCCTTTACTCTTATTGTTATTAGTTCTTCGAACACATCTAGTAACTATATTTGTTCATATTTCTGAAATTTGCTCTTTTGAAATAGTATTATTATTATTATTTTTTTTTTTTTTTTTGAGGAAAATATTAAAAGATTATTTGGTTATAAAATAACGTACAGTTGGGCGCCATATTCTGTTTTTGTCTTACGCTGAAAATTCATTCAAAATATATTTATTTGTAAAAACAAATACCTTAATTTTTCTTCCGTTTTTATACCCTCCACCATAGTATGGAGGGTATATTAATTTTGTTTTTCCGTTTGTAACTCATCGAAATAATCATTTCCGACCCTATAAAGTATATATATTCTTGATCAGCGTGAAATTCTAAGACGATCCAAGCAGGTCCTTCTGTCTGTCCGTCTGTTGTAATCACTCTAGCGTCTAAACAAGTTGAGATAGATCGCAGGCGTTTAGGCATAGCTCTCATATAAGGGTATCCCCAAATTTTTGGTATTTTGGTGTTCTTGAGAGCGTTTTTCAACCGAATTCGCTAAAATTTGCTACATTGAGTTCGTATTGGGTACTAAATGTTGCCACACAAAATTATAAAAATTGATCCACTTTTTCTGGTAGCCCCCATATAAGGGTACATCCCAATTTCCAGTTTTTGTGGGGTTTTGACCGGATTTTTTTCACCGAATTGGCTGTAATCTAGTAATTTGTGTTCTTATTGGGTAGCAAATATCTCCACAAAAAATTATAAATATAGGTCAATTTTTTCGGGTAGCCCCCATATAAGGGTACCCCCATATTTTCAATATTTTGAGGTTCTTGGGCACGTTTCCAAACGAATTCGTTGAAAATTGGTATTTTGTAGTCGTATATGGTAACAAATCTCCCCAACAAAAATTATTAATGTTCTACCCTTTCTAGTGGTAGTCCCCATATAACCCCTCCCATATAACCCTTATAAATATAGGTTAATTTTTTCGGATATCCCCCATATAAGGGTACCCCCCAATTTTGGGGTTCTTGAGCGCGTTTTTCTACCGAATACGCTGATATTTGGTACATTGAGTTCTTAATAGGTTCCAAATCTCTCCACAAAATATTATGAATACAGGTCCATTTTTTCGGATAGCCCCCATATAACGGTACCCCCAATTTTTGTAATCATTTCAAATTCGCAGGATAGAGAGATAAAAAATTAGAACGTAAGGTTCGGTAGGGAACTATAGCCGCATTTAGACCTAATCACTGATTGGAGGTTCCAGAAGGGTTGGACCGATATTTCCCATCTTCGAATTTGAACTAAGCTTGGAAGAAATAATAAGATGGGCAAAGTTCGGATGAAATCTAAATTTTCTGAAACAGATTTGGTCTAAAGAGACATGGGGTCTAGAATCAATATTTCGATGAAGCACATTTTCATCGTGTTAAAGTGTATACACCCTCATTAGCCATAAGTCTGAGGGTATAATGATACTTTAAAAATTTCTAAAATTTTTATTTAGGTTTACATAATCCGTTTTTAGAAATGTCGGTATAGTCAATATAACTATGGTCTAAAGTTCGGCCCGGCCGAACTTACCGCTTTTTTACTTGTTAATTCTGTTTCCGTCCTGGGAGCTATATCTAAATAAGGACCGATTTTCACGAAACCTGGCAGACTTCATTCTAGGCTCAATTCAGTACGCTATGCCAAATTTTACATTTAATCGGAGGAAATATATATGGGAGATATATCTAAATCTCAACCGATTTTTAAGAAATTTAACACACATCATTGTAGACTTTATTCTGTACGTTGTGCCATATTTCGTGCAAATCGAAGGATATATAAGAACCGTTTACATTATATCGGACGAAACTATATATGGGTGTTATATCTAAATCTGAACCGATTTTGTCCAATTTCAATAGAGTTCGTCCTTGGGCCAAAAAAAATGAGCTGTGCCAAATTTCATCCAAATCGGATTATAAAGGCGACCTGTACTTTGTTTACAATTTAACACCAACGGACGGACTTGCATAAATCGACTCCGAAAATGATTCTATGCATTTTCTCAAAAGGAACCATGTGTCTATCTCGTTTCCTTTTGCCTGTTCCAAACATATGCACCAAGACATAATACCCTGTACCACAGTGTGGTGAAGGGTATAAAAAAACATTTACTGTTGTTCGCCAAGTTAAATTTAGGTTATCCGATAAGCTCTTTAAATGCATTAATTTAATTTTTTGGCTCTTTATGGCTATTTTTATGGCCCTAAGCGCATTTTTCAACAAAAGTGACTACATTTAGCATTACGAAGTGGCTGTGATTTTGAGTTCTGGGGTATTGTAAAAACTTATTTCCGAATATTTTCGATATAACTTTTTTTACATAGGCCTCATACAAAGTATTTTCGGTATGTTAAGGGTCCTAGCTCAAATTGTGAACCCATGTGCCTGTATATTACCGAACATTTCTCGACACCAATTCTAGAAACATTTTTTTCCACTTCATAGTCGAAAACATGGTTCTTAAACTTTTGTCTTACCTCGTTGTTTCTGGAATTTCACAGAAGACTTCAAATTGTTCGTCTAACATTGCTCAAGTGACCAGTCACCATATGACCACTTTCGCCTAAGAAATCGGCGATTATTTGCTTCGAAGCCTTTACGCGGACAATTTTTCGTTGGGTTTGGCTCGTCTTCGAAGACTTACACGATCGATGTCAGTTTTGTTTCTGGACTAATACGCATATATCTATGCCTTATGAAGCACGGCGATCTTACTTTTTCAAATTTCTTTCCAACAATTGTACGGAATTCATCGAGAACAATTTTTTACAACTAAGGGAAAGAAGAAATGCCCAAGGATACATTATAAGTTCCCCAATATATAAAAAATATTTTAAGGTTCGAACTTAGGTCCTCAGAGCAACACAGATGTTCTGAGTTTCCAACACACTTCCTAAAAACTGTTGCGCAAAAACATGTGTATACCATGGAAGCAATTGTAATTGTGTGGATTAATTATTCATCGCTACAACAAAAATTTGCTTTGAAAAGAACTGTTTCTAGAATGAAGACAAATGTGAAACTTTAACAAAATTTGAATTTAATTCGCCTATGCAAATTCACATCAGGTCGAAAAAAACATACCACCTATGTAAAGTCAATATGCCCCATATGCCTGATGTGCCGATTAACCAACGGCGAAACGCGTCGCATAATTGTGGATACGCAGGTTATTCTCCTGGCTTTCCTTTTCATTGTAAAACTTAGATCAATAAGCTCGACTCGAGAGGGCATAACGACCGAT